ACTATTGTTGCGTCAGCGAAGTCACATGACTAGTGTCGCGCCACGTTTCTAGAACTATCTTGCACCTTGGCGAATGCTCTAGCATTTACTAGATATAGGGTAGCCTGGTATATAAAAGAGGGTGACAACGTGACGGGACACGAAGGTGTGTGTGTAGACAGTGAGTAATTGATCTGCAGTCAGAGAGAAAGAAAGGACTTGTGTCGCTAAAGTTTCGTCGGAACGAAGTTACGGAAAGTTAATTAACAAACGGAGACGTAACACTATCATCAATGCAAGTTGATGTTTCAATTCTGTACAGTATAACAATCCCATAATTTCGAGCTAGTGTCTTTTGCTGTGATCTTAATGAATTTTTGTTCCACTGCCAATGAGACGGAGACCAATAGGGAAGAAGATACGTCCTGTAAAATTAAGAGACTTTGTTGTATTTTAATTTTGTGTTTATAAATTCTGTACGTTTAATCAAGTTATTGTTAATTATCTGTTGGTTTAATGAAAGTGGCTATTGTTAAGGACGAGCAATACTAAGGAAGGGCAGTGTTACGACAGCGGAAGTCACGCGACGCTGGGAGCATTCGCGCTGGAGTTTCTCGAAGGATCGTGAATTTGCCCGGCAACTCTAGTCTGATCGAGATGGCATCTTTTTAGTATATAAGTCAGTCGAGAAAAACCAGCGGGATTGGAGAGATAGATAAATGAGTCGAGCGAACAGTAGGCACCCTAAGTAAAGTGTGTGAATCACTGTTATTTATAGCGTGTGTTTTAAAGGTTGTTTAGTAAAGCGACGAGAAAACGTATTGACTGTGGAAATTCTGTGTATTACAAAGTTTGTATCTAGGAAGAATAAACTGGGTTAATCAAGAAAGGACTTGTATCGCTGACGTTTCTCGGAAAGAATTTATAACGGAAATTAACAAACAAGCAGATAAGTAACAATGTGTATAGGTCCGATCAAATTAGTGGGAATTGAAAATCTCTCTTCGTAGATGTTGTAGACCGTGTTTTAGTGACATTAGTGTGAGTAATAAGACTATTAAAATACTTCACAAAAACGATAAAACCCTAGCGCTTTGGACAGATGGACCTGTTTTGGTTCAGGATATGGATCTATGTTTCTTACGTGAATATATATTCTTGATAGTGAAAAAAAAAAAACATGGGCAAAAACGTTGATAAATCACATAAACCTCATTTTCTTCCGAATGTCAATGAAACATTTTTTGAAGCACTTGGGGCAGATCAAACGTTATCGCAGTTAGGTATAAGCTCACGTGAGCCATTACACAAGGCTAAAAGTGGTAGTGTAATTGAACTTTGATTTAGAGGAGGTCGCTATAATCATCACTTCTTCTCTTTGAGTTTGAGGAAAGTTTGTGTTGGTCAGAAGTATTGTTAGATATGTCAGAATCAGAAAGTGTTAAAATACTAACTCTCGAAGAAATAGCAAAGCACAATGATAAGAAATCAACATGGGTTTTGATTCATTACAATATTTACGATGTTAGTAAGTTCATTGAAGAGGTGAGTTCGTATGGAGTATTTACGCTTATCCTTTAACGTTATCTAAGCCATAACTGTTACTGTGTTAGAGTTACTTGTAGTTATAAGTTGTAGTATTACTATTAATTGTAGTAGTAGTACTACTACTGAATGTTATCATCAAATTCAATGACTTTATAATTATATGTTCCTGGAAAGAGTAGTTCTGATGTAAAGCCAATAAAAATATTACCATTTACTGTACAAAGTATTATATTTAAATTTTAACTTAAGTGCGTATTAATGCTAGTGTTAATGTTATATAATTATAACGTTGCAAATGCAAGTGTATGGTATCGGTACCATACTGTTGGCAACAGTGTTGTTACACATCCTACACTGCTCCAACTTCCAAAACCAAAGGCTCAACACAATGAAAGTTGTGTTCAGCAGTAGCACTCAAAGTCAAACTACTAGTATTGCTATTAGTATTATCTCTACGTCTAACGAAGGTTTAGTAGTACTAGTAGTAAGTTGTGGGTAGAGAAGAGAGGAATAAACATTAATGTTATGCTTGTTTAATTTAATTTGTTTTTAATGGGAAAGAAGTTCAGTATCAATAACATCAATTTTACCATTTTGAGCTTCTCGTATGATGATCAAAAACGTATTTATATATATTCAGCAATAGCACTCAAAGTCAAACTACTACTAATAGTATTACCTCTACGTCTAACAAAGAATTAGTCATACTAGTAGTAAGTTGTGGGATAGAGAAGAGAGGGATAAACATTAATGTTATGTTTGTTTAATTTAATTTGTTTTTAATGGAAAAGAAGTACAGTATCAATAACATCAATTTTACCATTTTGAGCTTCTGGTATGATGATCAAAAACGTATTTATATACTTGTTTTTTACTGTCTCTGTATTCACAAAAAGAAAATACATGTATGATGTAGTTGACCAAATTGATACAAAAAGATTTTTTTTTCACATACGCAACTTTGTTTTTATTTGCAATAAAAAATAATGTGGATTGTGGCAAAACTTCTAGCAATTGTGATATGTTAGTCTTATTTTCTAGATTCTGATTTTTGTTTTTAATATAATTGTAGTTAATTGTTCTCTACTTCAGTTGAATATTTCAAATGTTGTGTTTCAAAAATATTTTGTAAAGCAGTGTTCTGAAAAATTTCATTTGAAAATGTGGCATATTTATGTTTAGGGTAATTTTGGAGTTTCCTTTTTCCTTATATATGTGTGAATCAGCTTTCAGTATTTGCACCTTTTTATATGTTTCAGAAATTAAGACTGTAAAGGTATATATTCTAAAAGAATACCAGTTTTCACTTGTAATATGAACCAGAAAATAATATTTTGCCACAAGTTTGAAATGTGAAACATTTGTTCATTTTGGATAACAAATCCTTTACCATGATCACTTGAGTATTGGAGTTTTGAGGAATACCAACTTGTCAGATCAGCTATATTGATTATAAGGAATGTATTTTAGGTCTTGGAAACAGTTTAGCATATACTTTGCTTAATCATATAATAACAGACATTAGTATTTCTTTAAAGAGATTTTATAGACTGACTAACTTTTTCTAGATTTAGCACTTGTGTTTTATTTAGTCATTTTATGGTATGTTTGAAATAAGAAACATATGTAGTTATATTGGATAGAAAATCCCCTATATTGACCAGCTGAGTACTGAATTTGCATGCTTTATCAACTCTCAAGAGTGCTAAATACAGTGGAAAAGTTAGATAAGTCTCAAAACCTTTTTCCCTATAAAAAGAGCACAAAAGTGTGTGTGTGTGTGTGTGTTCTGGGTGTTTTATTATATGAATTCCATATCCCTGACAAATGTGACTAAAATTGTTTATAAAGTTGATAATTTAAATATACACTATATGTTTATTTATTATTAAACTATTCCAAAAAAAATAAATTAAAACTGAATAGAATTTTAGAATAGTGCAGCATAAAAGTTAATGAATGAGAAATAACTATTGAAGATCAATAGATTTGTTAGCAGTGTTAAAATATAAAAAGAAACTTGAATGTATATACATCATAATTATGTAGTTGCCAGTGTAGTGACTTTATAAATACTCAAATGAAATGTATTGTTGAGAGTTTTGACAAAAATATTTTTTAATGAATTATATAGCATACTTCTGTATTAACAATCAGTTCTCAAATGTATAAAATGTAATATTGCTGCAAATATTTTGTGTGCTTGTATATTTAAAGTTCGTTTTGGAGACGTTTACAATGACAACAAAAATTTAGTGAAAGAGAGGTGACAGAATCCATATCCATAATATAATAGTAATATTGTTTAGGGAATGAATATAAAAACAACTTGCTTCTTTAACATCTTTTTTTTTATCAATAAGGTTGTAGTAGTGGTTAAATTAATAAACACTGAGTGAAACATAATATTTAGTAATTTATTTCCTATATCCCCTGATTTTTACTTGGTAAGGATAGCAAAAATAAGGTGACAAACTGTACACCTACACAGAGTTGCTTAAAATACAAGTTAAAATTTGTGACATTCTACTATTAATTTTTTGTAATATAATCATGTGTGTTTCTTTTTTCTTAACTAATTAACTTTATTGCAGCTGTACTTTACTTGCTAAAACAAACATGGCTTAAGTCAAGATGGCTGATTAGATTTAATTAAATACTCCATATGTACTTTGATTTCTATTTTGTAATTGTTGTTTTCTTTTTGACTAAATACAAGAGTAAATTATTATGCTGTGATTTATAACCATCAATTACACAAGCATAAACTTTTCTTGATAATTCAAGTAGGAGATTTGTTGTTGTTGTTTTTTTTTTGGGGGGGGGGGACTGTGACATCTTACATGAAAAATGCTTGTAACAGAATTTTTATTTGAAAAAAAAATTATTTGTACAGATATTATTTCCTCTTTTTATAGTTATGTTATATAATTAAAACAGTTTTCAATGCTCACAAGTTTTAATATTTATATATTTAAAAAAAAAAGGTGTTAAATATGAGGTTTCTTTTTAAGTTAGTAATTTATTTGACATCTCAAAATTGTTAACATGTGCATCCCTTGATATCTGAGAAGAGGAGACTACAGTACTTTTAGGTGAAAGTTCAAATCTGAACTAGGAATATATCCCAAGCTTTTGAAATCAGCCTTGAACTACATGCACTTCCAGGCTTTTGAAATCAACCTTGAACTACATGCAGTTCCATGCTTCTTATCTTAGTGATAAGCTGTTGGCATTGGATCTTTGAATTTTAGTCACACCATACCTTAACCATATATGTTACACAAGTGTTAATTATGATTATAAGCTATTGTTAAGTTAGTAGATATGTGATAAATGAAATTGATTAAAATGATAAATGAATTCCTTTTTTCATTGTAGGGGCAGAAATTATAATAGTGGTAGTTGTTGCATTTTGAGCTGAACCATATTATAACTAAAAATAAATATTGTTTTTCAGCACCCTGGTGGTGAAGAAGTTTTGCTGGAACAAGCAGGTAAGGTATATTAAATTCAATTATATTTAAATTATATTTTTTAAAACTTGAATAACTGTAGATTATACCATATATTATAAATCTCTCTATTAATGGAGTTATAACAAGGTACATTGTATCACTAGTTACACTAGATGATATATTAAAATATTGTGTTTTTAAATGTTATAGAGTCCTCATTTTAAGCCATAATATTATGTAAATTAGGCATATTTCTATGAGAATGTAAACAGTATATTATAGTTGTTCAGAATTATATTTTGACTGGTTATAGTACTTGTTCTATGGAATCCTGCTTGGTTCCAAAGATTCAATTTGTTGGTGCATGCAACTTTTTTATAGTTTGACTAATACTGGTCATTAGAAATATGGGAAGTCCTAAATATGTGGAAATTTAATTAAATGTCAATTCTAAGTTTTGCCTTATGAAAATATGTAGCTGTTTTATTAAAACAACAGCAATACCTATTCTCTATTTATGGCTGTAAATATTTAACAGTTTTTTCAGCAACTCTTAGCTGGTTTTAACTATTTCATAACAGGCTATATACCTTCTGTATATGACTATAGCTTTTTAAGACAAAATATAGCCCTTCTATAGGCAAAGTGTAGTAGTTCTATAGCTGTGACTATGGGTGTTATTTCATTTTTTAAGCAATTTCTAGCCATTGTAAAGGTAGGCCCTTCAACGTGAATACCCCTGTGTGGTGAATGGACCTCTCAACAGAGGTTCTGCCTGTATGGTTTGTCTTCTCTGGACCCAAAAATTTATCTAAGTGTAGGTTGTGGTTTGGTGGATGAGTGGTGACTGGGGTAAAGCCCTGAAACACATTGCTTTGGCCTCGAATTCTTGTGGATGGGTATCCCCCCCCTTCCCAACCCCACTGCAATAAATCAGCTTATCCTTTGTGGTTAGGGTCAAACAAGTTGCCAGTATTAGACATCCCCAATGGGGGATGTGCACATATGACCAATGCTGGCTCATAAAACATTGCTCCAATGTCACTGTTTGACAGTGAAGTGCATTCTCTTTTTGGTCCTCATAGAAGGTGGGGTCAGTGGGTACTGACTTTTATTCATTTTGTTATGGATGTTCGTACTTAAAATAATAAAAATAATATAGTCATTGGTAAATGATCTAGGATGGAAGACAGTGTTGCCACTCCTGTTATTCCTGCACCTTGTGTTCTGATATTACATTCTCTGTGAGAAATGTTTCTTGGAGGGCTTGGAGGACCTTGCTGGCTTTCCAGAATTGGTTAAGAAAGTAAGACCTGGAGGTTTGTTGCTTGAAATACCGTGACTACATGATAATGAATTCCTGTTGAAGTCAAAATTTATTGGGAATATACCTGTTGAGGTTACTCTTCCTACCTCTTTGAATTCATATAAAGGCATTATTGATGAGAGGGATCTACTTCACATCTCCAAATTAGAATTTTTTACTTGTCTCTCCAGTCAATGAATATCAGTAGCGAGGTGTATCTACACTTGCAAACCTGTGCCAACTGTGGTTTTGATTTTAATGTTCACTATCCCTCATCAGAACATCTGAAATATTTGGTCATACCATATATTCCTAACCTTCTCCATTGTTTTCACTGTCAGTAGTTTTGGCACTCAAAAACATCTTGCTGTGGTCATTTAAATTGTGCTTGTTGTGCAGGTAAACAACACTGTAGCAACAAGTTCCAGTTATAGCTTTACTGTGTCAACTGCTTCAGTTCCCATCTCTTCTGTTTTTGATTAAAGTTCTAAGTGAGTTGAAGAGAAAGACGTACAGCAAAGTAAAACTTTAACATCTCTTATCCTAAGGTTCAGATATTGTAACCCCTCTTCCAAAATAGTTATTTTACTGCTCTTTGTTCCACATTTTCTTCCTCTGTGCAACTCTCCAAGTCCATAGAATATGTACTAATCAGCTTTTTGGTGGCATTGCAGAGGTCTTCTGTAGGCATGGACTTTTTAAGTTTCATAGAAACCCACCCAAATTTGCAACTGATGTTTTCATATGCCACTATTCTTTGTCTAATGCAAGTGACACTTTGTCAATTATTGTTAAGAAAGTCTGAACTTTATATTGAGTAGAGGATGAAATATCGCTTTTCTCAGCATCCCTTTCATCCCATTGTATATTTCTCTTCTATTTCCTTGATATTTTGACCTTATATTTCTCACATCCTGACAGTTGTTTACTCTTTTACTTATATTTGGGAAATGAATCTTGTAATTTCATCACAAATGTCTTGAAAGATTTTAGCAGATGAGAAGCTGTACTGACACCCATTTGGGAGTTTTGTAATGAACAACTTGTCTTGTGAAACCTCTCCAGAATAACACTCCATAATTTGTCATTATACCTGTTTGCAGTTGTTCCAACTGTAGGATAAGGCTTCTTGATTCTAAGTGCACTTGATGTTTTTCAGAATCAACATCTGTAATGGAAGTGAGGACTTCTATTATGGCTTTGTACCCCATTTTTAAGGCTTAGATTGCATCTAAATTTGACACAGAAGATGTTCCACTTTGACAGTTGAGTAGCAAAGCCAGTCTCTTTTAATCTTTTCTTCATTCAACTGCTCACAATAAAATAGAAATTTTGAGCATTGGCAACTGAAGGAAGGACTACTAAAATTGTGCCTGGGATGAAGGAGTTGTCATAGAAGGGGAGGTTAAGATCTCTGAAATTGTTTTCTCTTGAAAAAAGAAGAGTTAAAGGGGATATGATTGAGGTGTTTAAGATTGTTAAGGGAATTAATGGTGTTGATGCATCATCTTTTTTCATATTTAATGGTGAGAATGGTAGGACTAGGGGACA